GTGTGGGAAATCCTTTGCTATGATGATCATCCACTTGCGCCCACGTAACTCTTCATGGTAGAACTCGGGCGGCTTCTCATCTGCATTCATAGAAAATTGACGATTGTGAGTTTCGGCTCGAGGTCCGAGACCACCCATATTTCATCTAAGGCCTGGGTGCGTTTTCACAGTTGTGAGTGACATCTCATGCTGAGAACATTACTGCTAGAGGTATAGAATCGGTACTGCGTTCGTGCTTCTATAAGAAAATTAGGTACCCATGCGCCACCCTCTTGACCATCCTCAGTATATCGGACATAACTCGGGCAGCAGCTACAGCTGGGACTGTCAACGACTGCGGGAAGCTCGACAAGGGTCCAGGCTCTGTGATCAGATATTCAGTGCCTGACTTCATCCACCCTTTTTTCTTGTGCAGGATGAATATTATGGGACCATCCACGACAACAAATTTTTTCCTTTCTTCCTTGTACGGGCTCCTGAACCAAATCTTCCACCGTGTATTTCGAGAAGCACCTTACACACAACATACGGTCCCGGCGCAAGGTCAAAATTTGGAGTAGCGCAGCGTTTCCTACTTATGCCGTCTGATTTGAAAAACACGGGCCAAATTTTTCACCACTCGGGCTTCTTTCAATTTCTCGAGAACTTCTTCTGGGGCTAGGTTCGCCAAATTTACATGATACACAGCTTAAGGTACTAGCTTCCAAATGGTATAGTAGCCCGCTGCTCTATCCCCTTTGCTTTTCTGCCATTCCTCTATATGTAGCGGCACGTTTGAATGGGATGACCTAATACATCTGCTGATTCTCTGAGGGTTATGCAGCAATGCCCTTCGTCGGTGCTGAGTGCCTTTTTAGCGCCAGCTGCCCCAATGACACGTCGGCGCCATAAATAATTGTCAGAATCGTGATCAGGGCCATTGATTACCCCTGTTTAAGAGGTTTCAGCGGAAAAATTTTTTTCGAGTTTCTTTATGTCATCGACGCTGACGCACATTTGGATGGCAGTGACAGGCGAACCCTCCGTTAAGTATCCTCTCTGGCAGACGAACCGCCAGAAATTTTTCATTTCTTGCCCCTCAACTTCAGTGGGTCTTCATGAAAAACATCGTGCTAGCTTTGGAGCCACTAAACGAGCATCCTGGATCTTTCTTCACTTTTACCGTCTATGCTTTCGACAAAGAACTCGTTACCACTTGCCCGGAGAAAGGCAGCTTCGGAGGTTTTTGTTTCTCATATTAAAAGGTATAAGAGGAGTGCAGTGTATGTGTCTCACTTTTGCGTGTGTTTTAATTCTGCGTCTGCAAATGGCAAATGAAACAGCTTCCTCCTTAAGCTGATGTTGGATAACGACTCCTTGGGGAGGGGGGGGCTGATAGCCACTAGCTGGAGACATGGCCGGCAACATAACACAAAAGCTCGGGAAAATTTTTCTCGGCGTAACTCTATACGTAGGGGTAATTGATGGTCCTGATCACGGTTCAGATACTTATTATTTTGGCCGGCGACGCCAATCTGGGTCGCAGTACGGCGCTAAATAGCCTGCCAGCGCCGACTGACACATGAATGGTAGTACGCAGAAAGCTTTGCCCAACAAATTTGGCGACACATTGCGCCATATTCAAAAATGAGTGTCGTGTTCATGAACAGAGCATCGGATAACCGCCGTAACCCAAGTTTCATGAAGAGTTTTTTCGATAGTATTTCGCGAGCGTTTGAGTGAGGCCTATTGTGAACGGTTCCCGCATGGAATGTGCCTTCAAATGGCGTATATCCGGGTCATACACATTATGGGGCATACAGGAATACAAGAAGCAAGAAATGTGAAAAATGCAAAAACTATGTCGGCAAGGGGATCCGATCCATAAACCCACCGACCGAGAGCCCGTCGCACTATCCACCACACCATCTGCCACTGCGACACTAGAGATACAGGACCTGTTGAAGAGATACGCGCAGATGACCGGAAAACTCCAATGCAGCTCACCGCATGCCAAGTAGACCATTTGGATTTTGACCTTATTTTGCGCTGTTTTTCATGCCTACTCAAAGGATACCCTACATACTATACCCTGTCAACGCTACAGCTAGAACAGAGGCGAATAAGGTGGTTTAAAAAGCCCATTCTTTTCGAATCGTTTTTGACCTTTTTTTTGACATTCCCAAAACCGTTTAGCAAAAATGAACCCCATCGCTATGGTCCTCGCATGGACCCCTACAACATGCAACAAACCGTTTTGAAAAAGCTCACCACGGCCTGAACGGCCTCCTTGTGAGAGGGTAAAAGCGGCCCTGGTGGCGTAACGGATAGCGCACTCGCCCGGAAAGCGTGAGGTGCGGGTTCGACTCCCGCCTGGGGTACGACTTTTGCCCTTAACTTAGCATTCTCGTGATTTCCTAAAATAGCTGCTCTGCTCCGAAGAACTAAGATAATGCGAATCTCGTCATTTATGAAACCGCGAGTAACGACCACTCAAACCGGCGAACACGTGTGCAGGTGGGTTCTACGATAGCCCAATCTTTGGCTGCTCATTACATTGCACAAACTTGCAGTTTCCCAGTACCCACCTTCCAAACTGCTTTTTTCTGATTCTGCACTACTGTCATTCCCTTTTTTCCATGTTGTCCCAGTCTAGGCTCTTCGACGTACTATGCGCTCTGAACTACAGTGTGGGACGTACAAGGTACTTGGGGGAGGGCTTGCCTTACCTGTATTTCTACTCACACTCACTAATTAACTTTCGAGATTTACTCGCTAATGTTTTTTCGAACGAGTTGGTTTAGCGAGTGAGATTTTGCCGCCACAGTATGACACCGGCGGAAGCAGCGTGAGCAGTGGAGTCAATATGGGCAGTGCGAGCGTCTTTCAACCATCGTCCATACTACGAACTGGACTCGTCGATCAAAAAATAAATAGTCAGTTACAATGAGGGAAAATTATTGATTGAGCAGATCACGTGTATAATACAAAATGTTACAGCGATTGATCCGTCATTCTACGATTGCATTTATAACAGTACAACTGGTCAAATTGTTATTGAGAGATGCTACAAAGATCTTGGATGTTGTGCTACCACTTGCTGCTCCAATGATGACTGGTAAGCGCTTTACAATTAACCAGTTCCTCAGCAGAAAAGCGTGTAATGCGTCACAAAAAGAGAACAACTTCGACAGTGAACGGAAGGACATATTCAATTATGAGTCCAGAAAAACAAGTGGGATACAGTATTGAGAATTTCGCGTAAAATCAAATACGTGGCACCAGCAAATGCACACAATACTCTTCATTTTACGTTTAGGCGCAGGGCACATCGTTGTTGGGGAATCCCCAATAGGGGGTCGTATTTGGCCGCCAGGAGGGGGGGGTCGTATTTGGGCTGAGAAAAATTTATTTTGATAGTTGATTTTTCTCGCTTCATGGACGTTGTAAAAGGGGGGGTCGTATTTACGTTTTGGCGTTGTGGGAGTGGTGGTTGACTTTGGTAATTTTCATGTTTCATGACGTACTATTGTCGCTGAAATTTTGGAAAAAGGGCAGGAAGTTTAGAGGGGGGGGTCGTATTATCTCACGACTTTTCCTGTTTCACATGTGCTATTTACCTTCCCCCCCCCCCCCCCCCCGCCCCGCTCGACGGCTCGATTCGATGAGGAAGGACAGAAGAGGGCTGGGGGGGGGGGTCGTACCAACTCCCAAAAAAAGGGGGGGGGTCGTACAGACTCGACTAAAATCCCCAACCAATGATGTGCCCTGCTTAGGCGGCACCTGGCTACAGCTGGAGAGCGGAATTAGCGTCGCTCTCACTTCCCGGCCTCTTACCTTCCTTACCGCCTTTCTTCCTAAACGTATAATCTTGTGCCTGGAATACCCTCGCGCGAAGGGAACAACAGCAGCTCCTGACGCTGGCGTTTGACCAAAAATTAGGTCAATTTTTTCATTTTCATTTCAGATTTCCCGCAAAAATTACCAAGTGAAGTAGTAGTGAATTCTTGCCTTCTAGTTTTACGCCTTTATTTTTAAACTGCTTGGGACTACGTCTTCTCTAGTCATGCAGCAGACGCATTTTCAGGAAAACCAAGTATGGATGGGCTGTGGCTTTAATAGTAGTGTTCTGTATAATTGTCGTGATTGCGGTAGTTTTATCACTGATCGTGTGGTTAATCAACCGTGCAAAGGACAAGCGCCAGAAACGTCTGCTCGACGACAGCGGACTATCGCGTGCAACTTCTAACGTGAGTCAAACTTAGTTCCAAGTGGGCTTGTCCGTAGGGGCCAAAGAATGTGGAAAAAAAAATCAACCGCTGACAAGAAGGGAAGGGTGGCATCTGCGGTTGGTGAGTTGCTGCGGACATCCAATCGCCATTCTCCACGCTTGTCGCTCCCCAAGGAAACTTTTGCGAAATGAGAGAAGGGTGGTGAAGAATAATTGCTTTTCAATTTTTTTTGCTTTCTTTTCTTTTTTTTTCGATTTCAAAGTGCGGCACAATGAAGCTTCTTCTTTCTCGCTGCCAACCTGAAGTAATGCATGCTCATGCTTTTTAATTTTTATATTTTTGGATTTTATTATCTCATTATTATTTTGTTCAGTTGCATTTTGTTATTGCTAGTAAATTGTGTTTATTATTATTGATTTAACATTTTCATCTTCATAAGATCTTTTCTCAGAAATAACCCATTTCTGAAGCATCCAGTACTTTTACCTACCTCATGTATACCTCATGTCTCAGTCTATCTCAATTTACTATAGTCCACGCTACTCATTAGGGCGGAATCACGCGTACCAGTGAGCCCCTGAACTTCTGCTTCTGTACACTATCTTAGAAGTGGGGTGTATTAACAACAAAGGCACAATGGTACGCCTAATGCTGTTCACACGCCGAATGTGAAGTTTGACCATAACGTTAGGCGCTTACGTCATCACACCGAGCTTATTATACACAAAAAACAAGAACTAATGGTTTAATTTCAGATGTCGCTTGCTCAGAGCACTCCAGGCGGGTACCATTACGGTACTGGTCCCTTCAAATCGCCACCAGTTGCTGGATATCGTTACTAATCTCATGATTGATACTGTGCTGTATTTTTGCTCTGATATACTGTAAGAGTTGTGCTTTGCTAGATCATCATTGGAAGGAACGGTCCGCGATGATCTATGAAAATGCAAAAAATTGTCTGAGAAGGGTAGTGTGGTCCACAGTGGACAAGCTGGTGGCAGTTTCGCTGCGGAAAGTTGAAGCAGGGCGGTCACACTGTAAAACAGTTAAGGCGCAAAGTTGCTCCTGGTACACCACCTTTTCCCAGTGACTCCGCCTGCAAAGCCAAAAGCAATGCGATACTGAACATAATGGAATGGATGCTTTCGTCCCGTGTGGGATCATAGGGCTCGCCATCCGGACTCATCCCCACACACTATTTTTTGGCTTTTTACCACAGTTGCTTGAGGCCCTTAGGAATCTTATAAAGGCATTTCCGACGTTCCATATATCATTTTCTTTCATAAACGAGTAACTTAACAACTTCTGCTGCCTATTTCAATACTATTCCCTACGTTCCTTGCCGCGGACCGTGCCTATCCAGGATAATTTGCGAATCGACTTATTGCACACTGTTCTTAGATAAATGTTCTCATCGCTCCACTGAGAGTTCTGGAAAGAGCCCAAGAATCGTCTTCCTAACCCATTCCGCAGGGAGATGGTGAGAGAAGAAGTTGACTGGGGCTCAAAGTCAGCGTGCTTTTCTCATAAGTGCCCCCACCCCTCAGTATGGTAAGGAGGAGGAGAGGACCAATAAGACTACATCTCCCATGCAGTTGTTGTGGAATGTGTTCTTGATTGATAAAGTAACGTCTAGACGTAATTGTCTTCAATTTAGGCTCTTGACAGTGTTCCGTACCAATTTCTGATGACTTGCTGACCATAAACATGTTATCTTTTTTGCTCGTAAACCAGTGATGAGAGGACAGCATTTTATGTGGCCGATTCCTCACTGGTTCGACAGTACCAATTACGGTCAGCGTACCTCGCACTAATTGAAGAATTAACGCAACAGCATAAGACCCGCCAAGGAATTTACAGGTTTTACGAAGGTGAGACGAATAATTTAACAGGGAACAAGCTGATGGGACCAGCGAAAGTGCATCTTGCGACTACCTTACATGCAGAATCCCTCCTTTGTACAAGCTTTGTTCGAAACAAACCATCTGTTTCACTTCCGCTTGCTCAAAAATGTATAAAAAGGGCGCTCCGGTAGTGCTGAAGGAGTTCCACCCGCAGTGTTGACATCCACTAGTTTTCATGGGTGGAATTTGGCGCGTTGTTTTTAGCGGGCTGGCGT